ACTGTGATTAAACACTTGTTTTACTTGTGCTTGCAGACTGGAGGGGAAAGAATGGTGTAAGTCCCACTTCTGCAGCAGACAGATTAATATACTGACAATGTAGCTTTTGTGAAGAGGAGCTGTGACTTGGAAACCTTCTCACTTTTGAGTTCCAACAGGACAAGCTGAGGTCAGCAAGAGGGAAGGCAAACTGGATCTTCAGTCCCCTGTATCATGCACAGAAGGGTGAGGAAGCATGGCATAACTAAGGTTTAAAAGCACTCTAATTATGTTAAGATATTTGGAGCCAACAGGTAAGTTCTGGTGCTTCCAAAGAAGCTTTTGATACAGGCGTAAATAATGTTAGCTGAAAAAAATGAAAAGCAGACCTGCTCAGATATTCTCTGTCTGTTCTTATGTTTCCTGTAGAGTACAGATTTTTTAAAAATTCCATGTTTTATTCAAATGTTGTTGGAAGTACTGGCTCCCTTTCTGCAATATTGTGTGTTTCAGCGATCAGTATAGACTTGTCCCACTTTGAAGTGGTCTATATCTAATTACCTTGTTGAAATTCCAAGCAGAGCTCTGCTTAAAAATTTACACTGAGATTCCCTCGTTCAGACTGTTTATTTTCAATCCAGTTACAACTGCTTTTTCACTGCAAGAAAAATTGTATTTCCTTGAAAAACTATGTAGAAAGTGTGAAGTGGCATGGTATTCTGATAATGAGAAACTTTGTTCTTATCTTTCTCATAAGTATCCTTTGCAGAGATGTGATTTTCCTAAATGAGCACAAGTACTTTGTACTGGTTTATTTTCCACCTCAAATAAAGGTTAGATAAACATGAGATCATATTCCTGGTCTTAATCACGTATATTAAGAGTATTAGAAATCTGCCATCAGTTGCACACAAATATTTACCTTTTGATTGTCTCAATTACACAGATTTGATTACATTTTGGGTTTTGAGGGAGGTATTTTATATTCATGTAGTAGGCAAGATCAGCGAGATGCTTCAGCCAAGGAATTGTATTTCCTTGGACAGCTAACTCCTAATTCATGTGGCTTTCCACATGAATTTCCACCCAGCACAAACTGCATCATAGAGGCCTTGACTGGAACATTCTTGGGAGTCTCCTACCCCAATGGCAATCTCTGAGGGATGCTGAAATAATATCAGGTTATTTTTTAAGGCGTGTCTGCTCCCTTCCCATCACTCCCGAGGTTTCCACCAAGTAAAGTTTTTTACTCTCAGTTCTTGAAATCAAGTCATTTGTTCAATTTGCATGAGCAGTCAAAAAGTTGTCTGATAACTTTTTAAAATGGATGCTGCCTGAAGCTGAGTATCAAGACACTTGTTGATAATTGTTTTGTTGGTAATGTATAAGCATAAATATCGAGTGTAGATGTTGTCTGCTTTCACTGCATTGTTTCAGACTTGAAAATTTTTGCTTGAAGATACTATAGATGAAATAATAAATCCATACCAATTACTTTGTGGAGAGAATGAGATGTGATTAAAATTCCTATTAATCTTTTTGTGTAAAAATTGCATCTTGGTCTAAAAGTCTTGAGATAACACAGTTCTGACAAGAAGTCATCATCCAGAACAGGCAGAAATTCGATTTTAGTTGTATCATACAAATCCAATGAGGGGGTTACTGGTGAAGCAATGCAAAAGGGAAAAAAAGTCGTTGTTAACCTTTTTGACAGAGGGGTCTGCAGGGCAAATTCCAGGGAGTTGTACAAGTCTTGGGCTAGTAGTCATTGACTCCCTGTGTGATGGCAGGATGAAACTGTCTCTTAGCAAAACTCGGTTGGCTCGAAAAAAATGTACAAAAAAAGGTGTCAGAAAGCTTATGAATATCTTCAGCTACCAGCAGGTCTAAGACAGACACCTGTTTTTCATAGTGTAAAACTTTGTCTTTTTTCAGTATTGACAGATGAGGAAATTGATGTAACTGTTGTTTTCAGCTAATGGAAATTATCCTCACATCTTATCATTGGAAACGACTTCTCCAAGACAGTGGATTTCTCCCATGACCTCAGTGATTTACAACCATTTATTTGTCTGCTTCATCCCTACTTCTGTAGATGTCATCAGCCAGTGCACATCTGTCCCATCTGTTGGGTGTTCCAGCTGACACTGTGCTGCTTGAACTTACTTATCTTCCAGATAAAAGAATATTTGTACTGGGCAGTTGCCAAAGTTGAGGGTAGCTGAAGGCCCAAGACAGGCAAGCTGCTGTTACCCACCTGTTCAAATGGCAAATTTGGTTCATGTCACTGCTGGTGGAGAGAACAAGATAAAAAGAAAAAAGAGTGAGATCAAGAGCTGCTTTTGGGATTGGAGGGAAATCAGTGAGTCCAAGGCAGGACACGCACCTCTCCAAGCTTGTGGTGTAGCAGTACAGGGAAAGCAAGAGATATCCTTTGATCCATCTTTTTTGGAGTAAAATGTGTAGATAACTGGTAACTTGACTTATCAAAGTTTTATGTGCCCATGCTTCTCTGGTCTGAGAATTTATTAATAGGTTTGTTTCTCTTGTCTTCTCTTCCTTCCTTCCTGCTCCTTGACATGAGTTGTATGAGGAGAAGGGAGAATCTACCCTGACCAAGAAATTTCTAAGCCTCATCTTAAGCTGCTTCTGTCAAGAGCGGGCAAAAGTTCCTGCCAACGCAAACAAGGTGCAGAACTCGGATTCAGAACATTGCATGTGACAGCAATCTTTGCAGCACATGGACACAAACAGTGAATCACCAGTGCCCAGATAGCAGACAACAGCAGTCTCATGAGATGGCTTAAAACTGCATGTCGTGCAGTGGGATTTATGACTTCAAATATCTCAGTGCATTAGGGCTGCTTCTAATGTGCAAAAAATCATGCCAAGGTTTGCATGTTCAAGTGGTCAATAAGTTCTCTGTGTTAACCCTTCTCAGGACAGTGAACTTTCATATACAGCAGTTGAGACACACAACCTCACCCCATACTCTGATTTAACTTTCTTTTCTGGAAACTAAGAGCAGTATATTTGGATGGATGTCTGTGCTCCCTCTGTCTTATAAGAAGCACAAATTCAACACATCTCACAACTTTTCAAGTAAAACAGATGTGACTGGCTAAAGACCTTTAATTTCTCTGCCTACTTGGAATCCATTTTAGATTGTTTGGGATGTGGGAGGGGAAGTCAAATATTGCAAAACATTGTTTTAAGCTGTGACAGTCAATGCCTGATTATCTTAAGTCTCCAATGAGTGTACTGATTGAAGCAGCAAAATCCTTCCACAAATACTGGTTTCTCTCAAATTGATAAAAAGGTTAACTCAGCCTCTTACCTGTGACAGACTGCTTTGGGGATTTTGGCCTCTTTTTTGACTTTAAGGAGGGATGTGGGTTTTGGGGTTTTATTATTCCTTGGGTTACAACCTGATGTCTGGCCTCCCAGACAAACTCACCCTCTTAAAGTCCTTTCATTTTCTTCTCAGAAAGTTTGTCCAAAAGGCCAAAAGAAAGGGTTTTCAGATGTGTAACACTTCCAGATGCACACTTCCAGCAATGCCAGGTGTTTGACCAAGCCCATCACATTAAGGACAAATTGAAATCCTGCTTTGCCATGAGTATTGTCATTTTTATTTGTCTGATCTCTACCTGTTTCTGCTTATTCTTGTGGCCATATCAAAAAGTTCTCCTGTAGTGGCCATACCACTTTGGGTTGTTCTCCTGCTGACCTCCCATCACAAATTCATAGTGAGTGTCTGAGCTTCTGGCTGGAAAGCTGAATTTTGATATCCACCTTGGTGTCTGTTTTGTGAGGAACTTCATTAAACCAAGTGCTCAGAATATGACATACTTAAGCACAAATAGTGGCTTGGGCCAAAATCCTCGAAGTACATAAGTATGGTGTAGTGAAGATATGCCTGTAGCTAAAATCCTACAATTCCTTCCTTGACAAGAATCTGTTTGAATCATGTCCACCCTCAGTTCCATTGATACTGAGGATTTTCTGAGTATCAAACCAGCTCAATTCAACTACAAACTGTCATTGTTTCTACCTGCCTGAGACCTATTACAGAATCACAGATTCATTAGGGTTGGAAGGGACTTCCAGAGGTTACAGTCCCAACCACCTGCCAAGGCAGGGTCACCTGGAGCAGGTGACATAGGAATGTGTCCAGGTGGGGTTCGAATGTCTCCAGAGAGAGACTCCATGACCTCCCTGAGCAGCCTGTTCCAGTGCTATTGCTTTAAAGAATATTTGAAGAAGGAGCACTTTCTATGGCGCTTCGTTCTCTTTGATTATGTACTGATAAGTTAAGAGGATTTACTTATATTGTCAATAATAATATTGATGCATAAGTTGACTTTTTTTTTAGTGGTAAATACACTTTAAAAAGCTACTTCAGAATCATGTAATGGAAAACTGCTAAAGACTTATCTGGTTGTTTGGGGATTTCTTTTGGTAACTTTGCTGTTGGAAACACAAAACACATAGGTAGCCAAATTGCATTCCAGCACGACCTGCTAGCAGGCAAGAGGATTTCTGCTTCAGTGCTGCAGTTCATTAAAGAGTTGTAAGCAGAAATGCTGGAAAAGTTTGCTGTGGGCATGTGACGGGAGATTTCTGATAACCTCAAGGCTGCGTTCCAAATGATCTTATTAATTCTGTGAGTAATCCGGGGAAAACCAGTAGGGTTTCTTTGACTTTTGCCCTCCAAGGTTGCAGTTTTTACAGCTCAGAGCAGCTATTAGTAACAATAACTCTTGAAGTGTAATTTAAAAAGCCCCAGGAAGTGTGTTCCTGTTTTTCTTTCTGGTGCACTTACAACTGACAACTCCTCTTCCTTTACCTCCTTATTCTGTGTACTGCTGTTCCTGGAAACCTGTTTGGAATGTTCTAATGAAGTTTTTCACTTGCCTGAAGTACATCAAGTGTAACACATGAGCCTAATTTCCAGCAGAGACCTCGGTCTGAGTGCAGTCAGCTGCTTCTCAAGAGTCACACTCGTGGCTGGGTAAGGAGGGATGGGGTTGCTTTGTGCAGGCTCTGGGAAGTTCGTGTTTTTAATTCTGCTGTATTGGGAAGGTGCTGTTAAAGTTGTCAGCTCACTTGTGTTTAGGTAACTAATCCAGAACCAAGAATCTTTCTTGCTTTTAGTGAGGCACATTGATGGAAATGGAGATTTTAGGACATATGGACATAGAACGTAATGGTGTGCATTGATAATTGGAAGAAAGGGCAATAAGTATTTGCATCTCTTCTTGTGAACATGTCTTCTTTATGTGGCTTGAGGTAGGGTTTTTTTTCAGATTCTCTTATTTTCATTATCATTAAAATCTTTTGAAGAGTAACACAGAGTTGTTTCAAATTGCTTCTCTCTTTATCCAGCAGCTTTCAGAGTGTTATCATCCCACCTAAAACTGGGTTACTTCTTTCCAGGTGCCTTTCTTCTCCTGTTCCCTTTTGCCTTTCCTCTCCAGGGTTGACATCATACATTCTGCATTGGAGAGGGCAGAATTCCTGAGAACAGCCGACACTGTTTGGAAAGGATTGTATCTGTGGCCAGTTGTCTGAATGTTATTTATTATATATACAGAACTGTTAACTCTCTGTCTAAATGTTTCCCATTTTAAGACTGTTCCTCACCATGCAGATTCACCTTGACTGCTCTTTAAAACTAATTTTCCACCTGAAAATAGGACCCTTACCTTGCTAGTCAGTGTTAGCAATGTATTTGTTTGCTGCATATCTATGTAACTTTACTACTATTACAGTTTCCAGTTCAGCTAGCTGTCTTACCTCTCCGCTTTTAATTCAGATTTTTGGGAAGCATACCTTTTAAGTCAGATAAATGGGAAAGGCGGAATAAAGAGTATTAAAAAGTTTGGTCCAGTCCTCAGTAGTGTTCAACTTTTGGTTACTGCAGTTGGGAGATTATGAAAAGTTTAACTTTTTTTTTAAGCTTCTTAAAATTTTCTCATAATCACTGGTTTTGAATCCAGCAGCTGTGTTACTCAATGCATCAAACCCTAAATGTCCAGCTATGAGTTTTAAATGGGCAAGGTAAACAATTGTGTATTTTTTTCTTACGACTTCTAAAGCAAATGTTATACCTATAAAAAAACAAGGTTAAGAAAAATAGGTGCCTACAATTTGTCAATATCAACTGTTATTTTCTAAAGTTCTGTTTTAAGGGTTTAAAGTTCCAGCGCTGATTTTCAATATTTTCTAAAGATAGGAGCTTCTGTGATAAGTAGCTATTGCTTGTTCAGTGGTCTTTTGAGAATTTAAAGCACTTGCCTGGCTTGATCTGAAATTGATGAAATGTAGCTGTATTATAACTTACCAGTGAAGTTAGAACCATTTAGAAAGGGTTTTCTGAAGTATTTTCTTGAAGTCCGTCTATAAAAGCAGTCATTTTAATGAAGACTTTGAATATTACAGTTTCTCCTTATTCTCATGAACAAAACTTAAGATTTTGTTTTCCAGCTCTTTCCCTTAGGGGTTAAATATCTTGGAAATAATCTTACCCTAATCTGGAGAACTCAAGGAACGCCTCATGAATGAGCATTATGGTGACTGGCACTCGAGTGTTGTGTGAGGTGCAAGTGCAGTGCAGGTCACTGCAATGATTAAAAGGTGAAACTGGTTAATGGGATCCATGGAACCCGTGTGCCCACAGCAGCTCCTTGGCTATTTGTTCAAACTGTCCTGCACATCTAAATTTCTTGCAATGATAAGTGGTGTTGATGCAGACAGGTATTCTACACAGGAATATTGCCTGCAGGACAGAGACAGATTTCTCCTTCCCTATCTAGACTGCTGCTTCTAGAAATTTTTCATCTAGGTTTCTGATTCCTCTGTTTTAGAAGGCTTTGTAATTAGGAAAATTCAGGACAAGAGGAGATAAAACAGAAGCAGGAGGGGAGAAAGAAGCAAAGGTCATGTAAAGTGAGGAGGAGTGGTGCAGTACCAGGAGTATAAGGAGATGTTGCTTTTGGTAGACTGGTAGAACTGTGTAAAATGGGTTTGGCACTAACAGCCATTCCTTTGAAGTACTTTTGTCCTGTTTTTTTAAAAAAATATGGCTTGGTTATTTTTCTGCCTTAGACTGAAAAGTAGATTGGGACAACCTCTGCTTTTTTCTCTCGTTTTTGATTTGCCCATGTGTTCTGAGTTCAGTACTGAGAAATTGTAGCTCCCTACTGTGCAAAAAACACCTTTATTTTAAGCTTCTTTATATTCCTCTGTTGATTACTGTGCACTTGTATGGATCCTTAAGGAGTTCTGTAATACATGGGAATGATGATCTCGTTTAGATTCTTATCCCCCAAGTTTTCAGCATCTGTAAGGGGGCAAAATCCAACTTTATCAGATAGAACAGACACACAAAGAAATGTTTACTTTGATAACAAAAGAGGCTCAGTGCTCACAAAGATTTTCTGGAAGGATTTTCTTTAGTTAGAGTGCATAGTTTGACAACTTCAAAATAAAGAATACTATAATATATTGATACTTTTATTCACAGCTTCAACTGAAATGACACAATCAATGACTTCAGCAAGTTTTAAGTAGTTTTCTGTCTATCCTTAGCAACAGATTTCTGTTAAGTAGGAGGATATAACTCAGTGTGTGCTTACAAAAATAGGAAAACTGCTTTTGTCTCAGATGACTCCGTAGTATCTTACATGTTTACATCTCCTTTACTGTAGCATGACTTTTTAGACTATAGGGTTGATTTAATAAATAAACAGTATATGGAGCATTTCTCTTACAGGTCACTTTGCTGAATGTGTGATACCAGCAAAGACCAAGCTGACTTCCCTCTTTGATGCCAAAGACTAAATTGCTCCTATGGAGACTCCAAAAGATTCAGTAGGCGTAAAAATGCAGTTTTCTTTTTCATGTTGTTTATGCTTGCATTTTGTTAGTATTGCCTTTACACTTTTGATTAAGCTTTTACTGAATCCTTATCTATAATGACAGTTTAATTTTTCAGAAGATAAATTGAAGTGACATATACAGAAAAGTAATTTTTCAGTAGCTGAGTGCTAAATATTTCCAGCTTTAGATGCAGTTTAATCACATCTACACTTCATGAAAAATGTACATCTGCAATTCTCTAAGGAATGTTTCCTAATACCTTTATTGTTTATCATTGTACATAGGGAAGATATACATAATCTCTCTGTGTTAGAAAGATCCTTCCATTTAAATTTATTAAAGATTACTTTACCCTGTCAGGAGCAAAGTATCCCCTAAATCCAGTTCCCTCCCATGAAAGCGTGAGAATTTCTCCACTGCTTGGGGTCTGTGCAAATCATCTGCACTACAAAAGAGCCCTGGCTTCTTCCATTTTAGGAATCTGGGAAGGGTAAATATTTAGAAGTGCTGGCATAACAATAGCAGAAGTAGAAGGAAATTAAAGTTTGGGATCCAGTACTGAGACACATTTGGCTTAAACCTTAGGTGAAAAAAAATACAAGCATTTTGGTAAATTAGTGAAATGTTACCATTTTCAACTTTGGAGTACAGAATCAGCGTGAACTGTTCCATGTAGAATAAAACATCCCGTTTTGAAAATGTTTCCTTTTTGTTCTTCTTTAGGCTTTTTTACTTTTTTTTCAGGAGGGCAGACCAGAGTGTGTTGTTGTTCAGTTCCTTTCTAACAGGTTGCAAGAACTATTATTTCACTGAGTAAATACTAGCACTGTTAAGGGAACAAGGCTCTTTATGGAAGACAACTTCTGGTATGAGACCTTCTTGAATATAAAGCTCAGGGGCTGTTGGTTGAATGAATACATGAAGTAAACTGAAATTAAGACCATGGCATAAAAATTGATTTCATTATAGGAACTCTGGTGTGGTGTTTAGGTTGCAAAGTAATTTGCTCCATAAAAGATTTTTTTTTGTAGAATCTGTTAGAGAGTTTTCAGCATCTGTTATTTCCAACAGCTGTTTGATATTGAGCAGAAAGATTCATCTGTTCTCTGCATAGCAAGAAAAATGTATTCGTTATCTTGATAAATTCAATTGAGCTTGAGTAACTCTTCGGATATTAAAACCAGTTTTCCTGGTGTGTTTCACTTATCTTTTGGAGATTTTTGGCACCATGTTCAAATATCTAAATGTGTCCAAAGACTGAAGTCTGTTTCTGCCAGAATTTGCCGTGTGACTTATGAGCCTATATAAAGACCATTATAGTAACTTAAGCTGATACTTGGCTTGTGTTTATGCAAGACAATGCCAAATAATCCTTTAACTTAATTTTGAGCAGTGCTATGTTTTTCAGAAAGAGACTATACAGAATTGGCTGGATAAAGAGAACTGTACTTTTGGAAAGAATTTCAGTGTTTTAAAATTAGATCTATATTTTTTATCCAATTTAAAAGCGAAAACAAAAAAAATCTGCATTTCATTGTAGAAGGAAATAGAGTTTAATTTCCACAGGTAGGAGACTCTGCTTGGATAGCCTTACCTGATGCCTCAGGGCTCTTAGCTCTTACTCAGCTTGCTTCAGGTTGTATGGGTCTTCAGAAAAAGCGGGTTTCCAGTTAGTCCTTTTGGAAAGTTGTCAAGCTTCACCATCACCGTTGTGTTTTAATAATATTTTTTTCGTGTCCCTTCCTATAATTTTGTTTACAGTTTCCAAATGGCAGATAATTCAGCACAGCCCCTGACAGAGTTTGTTGAATTTTAGATCACCTAATGTCTGAAGGCTGTCAGAAGTTGCTCTGCAAGAGGAGCTAGACTTCTGAAATGCAATATAAAATAATATTTGGAGATAGTTTAGACCACTCCAAGACTTCAATGCCTCAGTTTCCTTGCAAATTTCTCAGCATTTTGGTTACCTACTTAAATTAATATTTGTTACCTGTAAGTTTCTTTAGCAGGATGAGAAACACTCTAGTATTTAAATGCCTGTCCTTTCTTGGCTTATTCTTACTGAGAGTCCTCTGCAGATTCTGAATACTGAGAGTATTCTGTAAATTCTGAATTGGAACAATTCAAAGAAATTCTTATTTCAGTGAGGTTATTTGCCCAGCCTGCACACTGGAGAGTGTGGTCATTTTTTCAATTTAGACACCCAGTGCCAAAAGGAAGTGGAATACTATGGTTTACTCTCTACCACAAAGATACAGAGACTAGCACAGAACAGAGCATGTTTGCCTGCCTTGTTCAGAATGACATGTGTCCTATGCAAAAGGTGATATTGAATCTTAGAGTTGATTAATCAAGATCTTTTCCCAGCCTTTTGTTTCATTATCTGTTTTGTGTATGTCTGGTTGTTGCAGGAGATATATATTAGTTATTAAAACAAAACCCATTACAATGATAAGCAGAAAAAAAAATCACAAAGGGAACTGAATTTACAGTAAACTGAATTTAGACCAATAAACCTGCACTCTATGGTAGCTTAGTCTCTTAGTTGCAAATTAATATCAGTCTGCTTCAGATTCAAAGTCTATGGCAGCTGTGGAACTTTGATAATAGTTCCACAGAACTCATGACCAGGGTCAGTGGGATTCTGTGATCTTTGCACAATAGTATTCCACTGGTAAAATAAATCATAGCAGAGCGTGTTTTACTTCTATTTAAGGCTTGTGAGACTATGAGAACTTGGTTAGGTTCCTGTTCAATACTAATGAACGGGGCTCAGTTGTGACAGGTGACCCTCATTTGGGGTAAGATTTACCATGACCATTTCATGGGGTGTTCCATTTCTTCCCCAGTAATTCAGTTATAGCCCCATTTTACCTGTCAATTCCTTAGGAAGCAGCAGAATTCAAGGTGTTTATTTTACACTGTGTAAAAATAGGCATTTCAAAATGGGTTTGGCTGGGATGGAATGGCATTACTTCTGGGAGTTCTTGAAGTAACCTCTGACAAAGTGGATCAGAAGTTGGGAGGGACAGCAGGGGATGAAGACTCTCATTGCCTGTGGGAGGAGTGGAGAGCCTGGTGTAAGCAGATGTGCCATCCTGTCCCTCCGTGGTCCCAGCAGGCAGGCAAACTGGTGTGCTGGGGAGCAGAGCTGTGCCCAGTGCTGCTCCTGCCAGTGTCCCAGTGCCCCTGCAGCAGCACCACAGCAGTGTCTCCACATGCCCTGCAAAGGTGGGATGTCATTGCTGGGCAGCCGTGTGGTAACCCTGAGAAAGGGAAGACTTGGATTTCATGCTGAAATCCAGCTAAAGGATCTCAAGCTGAGGTTTCTCACCAAGTAGTGGACTCTTAACCACTCAGCTGTTTACTGGATTGTGATGAAGGGCATCCTTTGTGCTCCTAGGAATGCAAAATTTACAGGACCAGGGCGACAGAGAGCACCAGTAAGAGAAACAGGACTTAATAATCTGGTGGTGAGGTCACTTCCTTGGAAGGGGGAAACACAGGCTGGACTTTGAGGACTCTGTATGTACTTTACATGAAACAGTGCACAGTTTATGAGCTGTCTTGGAAGATTAAGCAGAACTAAGCGTAACCTATGAAGTGGTGGATTGAACAATTTCTGTCTAAGGTGCTTCGTCAATAATTGTGAGCAAAACTTCAAAATGATGGTAATAAACACAGAATGAAAGTAAAGTTTTTGTACATGTGGTTTCTTTTTCTTCAGATTCTTGCTATTGCAAAATTGATTCATTTCATAACAGAGTTTTATGTGGTGAAAGCTTTTGTTTAATCCTATTTTAAACCTCTGTATAATCTTATTTTAAATGTGCTAATCAAGCTATGTTTTGTGTACTCGCCAGAAAAATTATTCTTGATTTGTGTTATAGTTCAAAGAGAACTGAGCATATTTAAAATCAATAGAAATTCTACGTCCACATCTGTGGATATAAAATGTTGATGTAATTGTGGTGCATGCCAGAACTCTTGTATTTCTCAGTTTACAACTTCAAAGTGAAGAAATGAAAATGTATTGTACTACAGTGCATGACTAGATTAGGGTATTAAAGCAGGTTCTTTATTATGTTTACCTCTAATTTAGTTGGTTTCAAAAACTCAGTTGTTATTAGCTAAATTTACAGTGGCAGTTTTAGATTTCTAGGAAGCTCCAGTGACCTCCGTAAAGAGGTAATTCAGTGAACCTGTCACTAATAATTTCGTTCTGCAGCTAATAGTAATGGGTTTAATCCAGAAATTATGAACTGGCCCCCTCTTCCCTGAGGGAAATTTTTCTTTCCACCCTTAAATATAAGGAGGAGTGAGCACAGGAAATTTAGCAGAACCTGTTCTTTCATTTTTGAAATCATGAGGCTTTTGTGAAGTGTTCAGAATCCAGTGATGCACAGCAGAGTTTTCCTTGAATCACCTCCCTCTGAAGGTTTCACTGTTGCCATTTTAATGGACTACAGCTTTGTGTGCTGTCACTCACATATTTACCTGAAAACTAGTTCCTGATGGCTGTGGAGTCTTTGGGGTGTGTTCTGTGCACAAGGAGCCTGACTGTTCTCTGTCATGCTCTGACTGGTAATCTGAAGAGCATCGATGCTCCTGCTCAGTGTTTACAGTAGCCATGCAAGGAGCTCAGTAATGCAGCACTTGTGAGGAAAGTCATAGCAGATAATGATGTTGTTGAACTGTTGACTTGTTTTTTTTCTGAAAGAAAAAGTGCAGTCATTCAACAAGGGACCTGGGAAAATGCTCATCAGTGCCTTTACCAATTGTACCCCACTATGTTTTAGTATTGAATTAGAATGCTAATCACTGACTTGTTTTCCCATCTTGTCCTAATGAAAGAAAGTCCTGTATGTAGGGAACTGGAATTTCAGTTTGTAAGTGGTTTGTGCACAGCCCTTTGTTTCTGTTTTGTTATTTTGTGAGAATTCAAAGCTAGTTCAGGAATAGCTTTTTGTACAGAAAACTCAGAGGCAGAC